ACTCAGTTCTCATGTCACGATGATAAGCTTAAGTGATTTGCTCAAAAGCCACCTGTCCCAAGCTAGGACTGTAACCCTGATTGAAACTTATAGCCCAGTCTGCCTCTCTGGCATCTTGCTGATTGCAATTCAGTATCACCCAAAGTTGGGCAGCTAGGTGGTGCAATGGATAGAGCACCAGCCCTGGAGTCAGGAGGATATGAGTTCAAATCTGGCCTCAGATGTGTGTGACCCTGGGCAAGTCACTTAATCCCATTGCCTATCCAAAAACAAACAAACAAACAAAAAGTCACTCAAACTTTGAAGAGAGAGAAGGACAAGTCTTGTCCACTTACTTTCTTGCAGTGTTTTTCATGTATTGTGGGATTGAATGCAGGCCCTGTTTTGTATTAGGGTGGTGGGTGCTATGCCTTATCTGGTGATGGGAGATTCTTAGTTACATAACTCAGAACTCAGCATCAGGAATGATGTGGATCACTTCAGAGAGATCAGAGATGAGCAATATAATTGAAGTTTAGCAGGCACCACCTTAATGAAAGGTCAGTGGAGTTGAGTGGTGGGTGTCAGTGACAGCAAAAGAAGACAGGTAGGATGTGTGAAGGAGAACTAGCTGACGGTGAAGGTTGTTAAACACAGCTTAGGAGAAGAGTCTGTCAAGCCTCCTCTGGAGATTTCATAGTAAGCAGGGCCCTGATATCTCTGCTGTCAGAATTTAGGGAAAGCTCACTTGGAAGCAGGGAGGTGGTTATGGAGATATCCTGGGGTGCCTCCACCACAGTGCCAAGAACAAATAGTGTTTGCTTTTATCAGTGGGATGGAATGTCAAGAATTCAAATTTGTAGATTCTAACTTTCATATAGATGAATATTTAAAGTGGACTGTATTGTGACTAATATCAGTGTCAAAATAGGGTGTTCATATTAGAAACATGTAGTTTTCAAAAGGGTATTGGGATATAAGAAAATCCTGTTTGCAGTAATAGGAAATGTACAATCTTTCTCTCTCTCCCCTTCTCTCCCTCTCTCTCTGTCTCTCTCTCTTTCTCTATCCTTCTCTCCTCTCCCTTCCCCCCTTCTCTCTCCCTCTTCTTCTTTTCCCTGAGTGGGCCACCCGCCCTGACCGCCCCCCCCCCCCCCGCCCCGCCACTGGTGGGAAGGTAGTACAACTATATAACATTGACCTCATCAGCATTTCCAAAGAACCTGCTTAAAGGACTAAAAAGGCCTAAAAAGTACAGATGAGAAGTGCTATTTTTAATGGGTTAGCTTAGATGGAAATTGGGCTAGGTAATGGTGTTGCTTACCTGCATGACCACTTAACCCAAGGCTAAATTCCTCACTGCCAAAAGTGGGACAGTTAATGAAGTTGTGGCTACAAACCAGAATGGTGTTTGAGAGATTAAGTGGGATTTTTTGGGGAGGATGTTAGTATTTACAGAACACACAAACACATCATCTTTATGAGACATTCAGTGACATTTAGATTTCGACTTGGATAATTTCCTGGCTGTTATTTTAGTAGCTACAGAGCTAATTTTGGCAGGGTTGACATTAACCAGTTAGAAACATTTAAAAACATATTTTAAATGTTTGTTCCACTAATTACTTTCTTGTGACTTGTAAAAGAACTTGCCTTCACTACCTGAATACAGCGGAGAGCACACCAGCAGACTCCTGGGCTCTTGGAAGATAGAACTGCCTTGTGTTACTTCTGTGGCAAGGCCCTTGACATGCTCCCAAAGTGGTACATTAAAATCACAAGCTGCTTTTATAATATAAAATAAAGTTTTCTTTATATCTTCTGTTCTTATATCATCATTTCTGGACATATCTTACCATCTTCTATTCCCTAAGCACTGTGCACTTTCCCAAACCTCAGTAAATCTTCACTTATTTAAAAAAAAAAAAAGAAAGACCAGATTACAGCAGCTGTCCCAATCTCTCTAAGGAAAGAGGAAAGTGCATTTCCTCATTGATGGTAACATTTCCTCCCTCCTTCACAGTTAAGGCAAACATGCCATCTTTTTTGTTTAGTTTTAAAGCAAATTATATAAAATTTTATCTATTGCTAAGATAGTTTCTTGTGGTGACATTCAGCTGTCCCAGCATTTATTATTGCATAGTGATTTCATTACTCTTTATTTTAAAGTGTGAATATATGTAACCCTTTAATATCATTTTTGCATGAAGCTTTGTGCCCTCTTTTATATACTGATTGCTTTTATTTTTAAATATATAATTTAATATAATTTCAAATCTGTCCTGTTTGTGATCATTTCTAGCCTTCTGTTCTCTTCTGTACATTTAAAAAGTATGCTTAAATAACCTTTTTCTTCTTCCCTTTTCATTTTGGCTACCATATCCCTATCTCTCCTACCTGAATTCCTTCTCTTTGAATAAAAAACAAAAACAAAAACAAAATCATAACAAGCATGCTTTGTCGAGCAAAGTAAGTTCTCACATTGACTGTGTCTCAAAAATATACATCTTTTTCTGCATTTTGGGGCCATCAGCTTACTGTCTGGATGTGGATGGCATGCTTCATCATTGGCCCTTTGGAATCATGGCTGATAATTACATTATTACATTAAGGCTATAATTTAATTTGGGAAGTATTGTCATTTTTGACGTATTTGCTCATCCTAATCATTAGCAGCAGATATCACCTTTTGTGTTCATTTCTTCTTTGTTTTTTGTCAAAATTATTTTGAAGTTGTCTTTGAATAAGTATATTTTGTACTTTGGATGAGTCATCGTCCAAACTTTTGATTCATTTTGTATTGTAATGTATTAGAGGTATCCTGGTATAATGAAGAAAGGACCTAGGCTAAAACTTCATTTCTAACAACTAATAACTCTTTGACCTTGGGTCAGTCACCTAAATTCTCTGTGCATCAGGCAGAGCCATCTTCATTCATCCTGATCTATATCTTGCCATTCAACCCAGATGGCTCCAGAGGAGAAAGTGAGGCTGTGACTTTGTACTGTCCTTCCTTAAATCCAATTCACTTGCAAATCATGGTATCAGCTTCCTGGTGTCATGGTTCTCTTTGAGAATGAAGGACAAACAATAACAACAACACCAATCCATGCATCGGGAAACTTCCTAGGACTTACCAACTTAGTCATAGATGGATTGAGATGGTAGAGGGAGATTCAACACTAGAAGTTCCCTAATGGAAATTACTCTTGCATACTTTGCACATATTTACCTATTTCAATATTATTATATTACCATTTCAGTTTCTCTTAATTCTTGGTTAAATATAGAAATGTATACAAATACACATACACATATATTTTTCTCCCTGCTACTTTAGTATATTCCACACAATTGGGTAACTTGTTTGTTGTTGAAAGACTTTAAAAATGAGTTTATTCTTTGTAAAACTCTTCAAACTTTGCCTCTCAAATATTCAGTTTTTGTTATACTATGGTTTGATGCTAAATGAACTCTTCACTACTTCTGGCAATATTATTATTATTATTGTTATAACTTGTAATAATAATTTTTGCTTATCTTCATAGCACTGGAATTTAACAATGATGTGTCTAGGCATGTTAAATTTTGGGTTCTTATAAGAGTTCTGTGAGATCTTTGATTATTGAGTAAAATATAGATTCCAAAACTCTTGTTTTTCTGTATTCTCTAGGATGTCAGTAATTTATATCATGATCTTCCAGTTTTGTCAATTGGATCTACATGTTTTCCCATATTTTGGACAATTTAGTTATATTCTTTGTTCTTGTAGAAGTAGCAAAATGCTCTACATTGTATGCCATTCAGTTTTCTTCTATGCTAAATCTAGTTTATGGTCTTAGGAAAGGATATTTGTTCCATTGTATATATGTTGTTCGTTTTCTTCATTATTATTTCTTATCCTTTTTTCTTACTATTTAAGTCTTGCTTTCCTCATGGGATTTTTTTTTAACTTGAAGCTTTTTGAAAAATTTGGTTTTATGCTTCTCCTAGGCTTGGTAATTCTTTCCTAATTTCTGGGAATGTGCCATTTATCCATTTGAGGACATATCTTGGGATATCTTATATGGCTTCTTCTTTTGTCTCTGTTACTTTTAGTACTTTAGCAGATTTTATTGCTGTGTAATATTTTTATTCGCACTACTCTTCTTTCCTTTGCTATTTTTTAATTTGAGTTGAATTTTAATTTCTTTTGTGATTTCTTAAAAGTTATTTCACTTCTTTTTGATATTTGGGTTTTTCCTTGAAGGGAGGAGGAATACAGACCCTTTCATTTCTCTCAACCTAGCATCTTAAGTCATTCTCTGTTGTGAGTTATTTCCTTGTAAATATGGCATCTTGATATACTGCATCTTACAATAAGAAAAATCCATTGAGAACCATTTTATCTTAATTTTTTTCTCTTTTCTCAGGATTATTCAGGCCTCTATGTCCAAAAATAATGTATTCATAGCAACTTATTTTTTTGTGATTGCAAAGAACTGGATACTAAGGGTATGCCCATCAGTTGAGGAATAGCTGAATAAGTTTGGTACATGAATGTGATGGAATACCATGGTGACATAAGAAATGATGAAGGGGACAATTTCAGAGAAACCTTGAAAGATTTATATGAAATGATGCAGTGTAAAGTGAGCAGAACTAGAAGAATAATTTATAACAACAATATTGTAAAGACAAACAACTTTGAAAGGCTTAGGAGCTCTCATCGAAATGAAGATCAATTATGATTCCAGAGGACTCATGAAGAAACATGACACCCACATAGGTGGGTGATAGACTTGGGGCACATTGAGACGTATTTTCTTTTAGGCATCTCAGATGTGGGTTATTTGTTTTGCTTGAGCATACATGTCTATAACAGGGATTTTGCTTTTCTTTTTCAATGTGGGAGAAGGTGGGAGGGAAAGAAGGAAGATTTTTTTCTAAGTGAAAAAATAAAATTTGATTTAAAAAAATATCCAAAGAAACACTTTGAAAGTTATACTTTGAATCTGATTTATTATGCTCTTATCTTGCAGTTCACAAGGGTTTGGATCCCTGATCCTGATGAAGTCTGGCGATCGGCAGAGATAGTGAAGGACTACAAGGAGGGTGAGAAGATTCTTCATCTTAAACTTGAAGATGAAACTGTAAGTGTTCTGGTTGTAAATGGCCTTGATTGATGATGAGTGGAAGTAAGCCTTAGACTGAAAACTCTTCAGATGTCAAGGATTCTGTGCACGCGTCGTTCCCTAAAGAGGGAGTCTCTGAAAGTCTTAAGGCATAATTTGATACTTAGTAATTGCCTTTTTGTGTGGTGGTGATAATATGTCTGAAGAAATAGGTATATTTTAAGGAAGGGCTGCCAGGAATGTATTTGTAAGCCATATTTCAGCAGTACTCAAAGACAATCATGGTCAGAACTTTTTCTACCTCTAGCCTTTTTTTCCCTGTACCTCTCCTTCTATAATATTAGGCAGAAGATCAATACATATTTATTAGATGTTTACTGTGGACCAGGAGTTGTGCTAATTGTTGGGGATTCAAATATACAAGCAAAAAGAAGGGTAGTCCCTTCCCTCAAGGAGCTTACGTTTTAATGGGAGAAACAACACATAGAAAAGGGCTGAAAGGGGGTAGGAGGAGACCTGCACAGGGGGCATGGTGGCAAAATCTAGAGCAAGGGTGGGGGACCTGTGGCCTCAGGGTCACATGTTGCCTTCTAGGTCCTTGGGTGTGACCTTTTGACTGAGTCCAAATTTTACAGAACAAATCCTTTTATTAAGGGGATTTTTTCTGTGAAGTTTGGATCCAGTCAAAGGGCCACACTTGAGGACCTAGAGGGCAACATGTGGCCTCGAGACTGCAGGTTCCCCAGCCCTGCTCTAGAGAGTTAGAAGTAGAGCTAGGAGAGGGGAATGAAACATGACTTCATTGGGGGCTCTGGAAGGAATTCAACAACGAGAGAAGGAGACCAGGTTGGCAGAGAGATGTTCTAGGTGAGAAGACCGCTGAGTAATGGAGGCAGAGTCTGGAGAGAGCATGACATTCCATCTCTCAGCTCTGGGCATTTTCTCTTTCTGTCCCCCATGTCTGGAATGCCTTTCCTCCTCATCTCTGCCTATTGCCTTCCTTGGATTCCTTTAAGTCCCAACTAAAATCGCGTTTTCTACAGGAAACCTTTCCCAACCACTTTTACTTCTAGTGCCTTCCTTCTGTAGATTATTTCCTATTTATTCTGCATATAGCTTATTTGTACATATTTGCTTGCTTATTGTCTCCCCCATTAGATTATGAGCTCCTTGAGAACAGGGGCTGTCTTTTCCCTCTTTTTGTATCCCCAGGAAAAGTGCATGGGACACAGTAGGTGCTTAAAAAATGTTTATTAACTAACTGAAGGGAAGTAAATAAAGTTAATGAACCATTGATCTGCATGATATTATGGTAGACACTGGTCCATATTAAATTATATGAACACAAGTCCCTTTCCCAGGGTTATGTAAAATAAACAGCCAAATGATGTAGTTAATTTTCATTTTTCCATGCCAACAGAAGGGAGTGTTAGTTGAGAGTTTTGGAATGTACATACAATATCATCATAGCAAGAGTGTTAGGAAATGACTCCTGGATTATATAATGAGGTTAAACTGTGTTGGAGGATTGTGATCACATGGTACCTTGTGGAATTCTTAATTCCCTGGATCAGCTTATCTTTCTTTTTTTCTTTTTTTAGGCAATGGGGTTAAGTGACTTACCCAGGGTCACACAGGTGGTAAGTGTTATGTGTCTGAGGCCAGATTTGAACTCAGGTTCTCCTGACTCCAGGGACAGTGCTCTATCCATGGAGCCACCTAGCTGCCCCCCCATCAGCTTACCTTCTCTTGTAGCTTCAAGAATCACAGATGACTCCCAAGTCATGCATCTTCCAGTCCTGACTTTTCATCCATTCCTTATTTCTACCTGTCTACAAGACATGAACTCATATATTTTCCCATCACCTTGAACTCAACAAGCCCAAAGCAAACTAATTGTAACTCTCCTGTTCCCAAAATGGCTCCCTTTCTCCACTATGTCCCCTTCATTGGTATCACCACTAGTCTTTCAGTCTCCCAGGCTAGACACATGTGAGTCATCTTTTAGTCTTCCATCTACTCTATAGGTCTTTAGATGGTATTGTGGATAGAGCACTGGATTGGAAATCAGGAAGACATGAGTTCAAATCCAGGCTCAGACACTTACTAGCTGTATGACCCTGGGAAAGTCACTTAACCTTTCTTAGCTTCAGTTTCCTCATTACTAAAATGAGGATACTAATAGCATCCACTTCCCAGGGCTTTTATGAAGATCAAATGAGATAAACCTTGTAAAGCATTTTGCTAACCCTAAAATACTATATAAACTCTAATTATTGTTGTTGTTGTTGTTGTAATTTTTACTTTGTGCCATGTAAGCAATCTGATTCTTGTAGTTTAGCATTTTGTACTTTGGCACCTACAGAATTTCACTGGTGTTTGCAGTCCCTCTACCAGTTCAGATTCTAATTCATTAGTGCCACTGAAAAAAATCTTGTCTTCTTTTTTTTAAAATGAATCCACCATTGAGAGTCTTTTCAACTGCTAAAGGTTTTCTTCTCATTGTTTCAATGTTTTTGGGCATATCAGTATACAACTTGGGTTTCTATCTGTTATCCCATTTTTGTTATTTGATGAACCCATCTCTTTTTCCATTCAAACATTTTCTTTAATATTGTTTGTGCCACTTCTCATGCTCAAACCATCATTTATTCCTTATAGCATTTGTTCTTGTCTTCACTTTTGACTCACCTGCAACATCAATACTTCTGAGACTCAGCTGCTGCAGAATTCACAACCATGTCCAGTTGCTAGGAAACTTTTAATGTTAACATGAAATGTGTGACACTTTTTGGAGATATATCACTGTGAATGCTCTGTAGTTTCCTAAATCCTCTCCTCCTTTGTCATTCTGCCTAGTTTTTCTAAAGCGTGCATGTCAATGAACTAATTCAATGGGCTCCCCTGTTACACTGCATGTTTACATCTGTGTAATGTGAGTTTCTCATTTTCTTTAATTTTCAATATATTGAATATTAATTATAAAGCATTGCATACCTGGTATTGCAGTGATACAAAAATGGAAAAGATCCAGTCCCAATCTTCACTGAGTAGAATATTATCTATTTTGGAGACAGAGAGATAAGGACCTAGAGTCATAGAGCATGAGGAGGTTGGCATTAGTTTGAAGAGGAGAATAAGGAAAGAGTTCTTGGGATCCAGAGGAGGGAGAGGTGGCATCTCTTCTTATTGAGGACATCCGGGAAGGTTTCATCTGTATCTATACTTGAGGGATGAATTGTGGAGTTTGTGAGAAATAGACAATCAGGAAGATAGTATTCCAAGTAAATGGTACATGTGAAAGGCAGGGAAGCAGGGAAGTTGGAAAGCCTTAGGTATGTTTGAGGAGTTGTAAGTAATCCAGTTTGCCTTATTCTGAAATAAGATTAGAAAGATTGTCATTTGAGGTGGAACTTGAAAGCCACATTGAAGAGTTTGGGCAGTAATCCGTGGTCTGTGAAGAGCTATTAGAAGTTTTTGAGCAGTAGAGTGATATGATTAAAGCTCTGCCTTAGGAAAAAGAATCTGCAGCAGTGTGTTTGTTGAATAGTGCCAGGAAGACCAGGTTGGAGCCTTTTGTGTTAGTCAGGGTAAGAGATGATGAGAGCCTGGATTAAGGTGAATGGAAGAGAAGGTGGTAAATAAGAAGTGTTAGAGAGGTAGAAGGGATAGGACTTAAGAAATGATTAGAATTGGTGGGGGAGGGGGTAGTAGAAGAGGGATAAATTAAAGATGACTTGTAAGGTTTTCAGCCTTGGGTGATTGGGAGATTGGAGGAACCATCCACATAAATGAGTGCTTCAGGATGATTAGTTAATTTGGGTTGCTGCTGGGACATCCAATAAGGGGTTGGAGATAGGATACTGGAATTTGGGGAAGAAACAGAGAGTTTCTTCCTTCTAAATAGCTCTGTTTTTCTCTTTAATTTCCACTTCCTTCACTTCACACTTGCATTATTGTTCCTGCCTTCACCTGTCCTTGCCACTGATCCATCTGTTCCCCATTGTCCTTTCTCAAGAGAATCCAGGACTGGTTTGGTTAAATGAGGCATTGAGGAAGGAGCTCTTTGTTGGTAAAATGTAGAGGAGGTGTGTCTAATTTGGCAAACCACCTTACTTGTATGGATTTCCATAGTGGGTGGGAGATTAATTGCCAGATGGATCAGTGACCAGGTGGCATCCATGAAACAATCTATTCCTTGGACCCAGGGAGCTCCAGTGGGGAGAAAGTATTGTTTTTTGGATTGACTTGTTCAGGCCTACCCTAAACTCTTTAAGACTCTTCTTGTGCTCCACTTGCCAGAAAGTACCCATTCCAGCCACAGTTGGCTTCTCCCTCTGCTGATTTCTATTTGTTTTCTCAACTACTCTTCTGACAGTCAATCATTTATAGTTTTGCATGTGCCTTGTCTAACTGGATTTTAAACTTCTGGAGGGTTATATTTTTATAAAACAGTTTGGGACAAATAATGAGCAGTCAATAAATGACTGAGTTGATGATCTCACCTTGATCTGATCACTTAAAGAAACTGACTGCCAAAGAATTTATTTGTGAAATGGATATAACAAAAGGCATTCCCACCTCCCTCACTGGGAGAAAAACTTTGATAGTTTTGTCATGGAGACAGTTTTGATGCCTAACTCTGGGACCTTGGGCAAATCACTTAACCCGGATGAGTATTCTCACCTGAAAAACAGGGATAATAATGGTACCTACCTCCCAGGGCTATTGTGAGGATAACATGAAAGTATTCTTAAAGTCCTTTGCGAACCTTAAAACACTATATAAATGCTAGTTATTTTGAGGCTTTGATAAGAGAAAATTCCTAGCAGATTGCTGTGATTTGCCACATTAAATAATGCCTGAGACAGAATTAAAAATCTCTCACCCATTTGAGTGGCATTTATTTTTCACTAACAGATTTCATTTTTTTGAGTGGGTGAGGTTTTGTGTGCCTTTTTATTTAAATTGTACAGAGGTATTAGCGCGACTGAGCTGCTCTGTTGCTAAAACAGAAC